CCCCCCCCCCCCCCCCCCCCCCCCCATCATAACAACAGCTGCTAATTGATAGCTCACATGAGCAGTCACAGGGGACTGTCTTTACCTGGATCAATTTCGATGAAGCAATTTTGACCCCATCCATTAACCCAACCCCTCTGCCCCACCTAGACTTTATTGCAGACCTAGAGGTGCCTTGTTATGTGCATGTGAACAGTGCTGCAAACCAGTGTCCCTTGATCATGAGTAATTCCATTGCAGCTAAGGAAGCAAGGGCTGTTTGTATGGGTAAGGCTCCCAGAACTGGGTTTCTAGGTTTGAAACTGTATAGGGCAGGGCCAGATTATGGTTGGCATCCGGGTGCGAGCAGGAGGAATGGAAGAAAGCAAAAGGAACCTGGGTGCTTGTGTCCCTCATGCGTAGCCAGCCATGGTAACAGTTCCTCCATTTTCTTGCTTTGGAGGTACACCGTGCCAAGTAGAGCTACTGAACTGCCTTCCCATCTGTACCAGAGGCGTGCAGAAGACAGTGCTGTAGGGTGCACTCCAGAGGGGTAGGGAAGTACTTGGGGGAGAGCTGCTGAGATACAGTCTGGCTTGGTGTGAGGCAAGTGTCTGGGATAGAAATATTAAAGCCTTAACACTGCATATATCCTCTCTAAAACCACACAGAGAGCTAAACAAAGCGCAGACCTGACACAAATGGCATCACTGCTGCAGCTCAGCACATTTTGCATCCAGTAATGCTGAAGTTGTTAGTCCCCAAGAGATTAAATTGCTTCTCTCCTTTATTGCTGTGATTGTCTCCACTCACAGTGCAATATTCTCTGTGGATGACAAATGGGTCTTTCTGTTCTTATCTATACCAGGCACCCTGTGTAAGTATACCCTGACTCTGCCAGCACTCACTCCTTCAAAGGGCCGCGAATATGTACAGTGAAGAAAACTCCTGGCTACACAGGTCAGGGGGGAGAGGGGGTGCAAAAGGGCATTGTAAGGCACTGCCTGACAGGTGGCAGGTGGCAGAATAGATGAAGGTGAGGGAGTGACTGGAGATCTGGGCAGAATGGCTGCTGTTCCCATGGGCAGCCTCTCACGGCAGCAAGCGCAGCTTGACCTTCAGACAGAGAGATGCTTACTAGAAGTCAGGCACCTCTGAAGTTAGAGGCGTAGTGAACTCCTTCCTCACCTGGGGCAGGGAATGGGAATTTTGCTGTCCATGGAGAGCACAGTTGAGGGTGAGAGTGGAGTCTTACCTGCCCTAGCTCGCCACACTCTGGAGGCAGCTGCTACTGCTGCAGCTCTGCTGTTGCAGCATGGGCTCAGGCTGCTACTGCTGGGGACCAGGCTCACTGCACACCAGCTGCACAGCCCCATGGCATGGGCTCCCTGGGAACCTCCCCTGTTGCCCCATTTACTCAGCCCTCAGATACACTACTGGGTGCAGGGCTGCACCTGCCAAAACCTCCCCAGGGGTGGGGGTACCATCCCCCCCACCATTTTTAGTGTTCTCAGTGGTGGCAGATGACAGAACAAGGAGCAATAGTCTTAAGTTGCAGCAAGGGAAGCTTAGGCTACATTTTAGGAAAAAACTTCCACACTAGCAGGGCAGTAAAGCACTGGAACAGGTTACACAGGGAGGCTGAGGAATCTCTGCCCCTGGAGGTTGTTAAGACCCAGCTTGTCAAAGCCTTGGCTGGGATGATCTATTTGGGGATGGTTCTGCTTGAGGAGGGGGTTGGACTAGATGGCCTCCTGGGTCCCTTCCAACTCTAATTTTCTATAATTCCTCAGCTACACTACTGCGTGTGGAGCTGGGCCTACCGAGCTCCTAAGGCTGGGCACCTCGGAGCTGCTTCCACCATGGTAAAGATTCTGTGTGGGGAAGGAGACGTGCCATTTTACTGCTCCTTCTATGTCGGCACCTGTTAAGTGTCCCCCCCTAGAGAATTCTCCCCAGGGCAGCCCATCTCTCTACTTTGTTACTTTTTGATTGGAAACGGATGATTTCCCTGGTCATCACATCCTTGTTTTTTGTTATTGGTCTTATTTGCCTCTCCAAGGAGCCTGCCTAGGGAATGCCAGAGCACGCGGAACATGGGAGAAGGTGAATGAACACATGGCTGTTCATACAGCAGAAACAAGGGCCACTTGCCTCCTGAGTGGTTTAGAAAAAGGGAAGAAGGGTTGGTTTGCTGTGAGGGTTGGAATTGGGCTGCAGAAGCTGTGTGCACTGGACTGCTGGAGTGAGTTGGACTCTTATAGCTGTTACTGGCTCTGGGCAATGGCAGCTTCTCTGTGAAATGAGTCAGTGAGGTACCATTCTTTGTGAGCAGGTGTCTACAAAAAACAAGGACATATTTCACATCAACTAGTTCCTTTGTTTCTGGAAAGAGGTTAGGGACTGAATGGGAGCTGGGCTTCCACCTGGAAAGATGTTCCAGTCGGGTAAAAGGTGAGGTCCAGCAGAGTGGGAAGCCTTTCTAGAAATCAGAATTGCATTTGTGCTTGCATTGATTGGAGCTGGACAAAGAAAAGATGGTACTTTTGGGAAGCAGGACTAATAAAAATCTAGGAATTGCTTTTGCTCTTGCTAACATTACCTCATCTCTTTCTGTCTCTGCCTCACTACGTTCCATGACATTTGGATGCTCAGAGCAGCAAGGGCTTTCGGAGAATATCTTTCACAAAACCATCCTGAAAGCAGAAACGGCTCAGGTAAGAAAAACTGTTTGTGCTCTTCATGTCGGTATAATAGATGGCATTCAGGCATTGTAGTAGACTGAAATAAAGCATGTAGCACAAGAAGTCCATATGGGCTGTCAGCATCTGATAGCAAAGCCCTTCATCCTCTGAACCTCCAGTTCAAGAACATTAAAAAAAAAGGTTAAAAGAGAAAGCAGTTAATTTGGCAACACATGGATGCTAAGTTGGGATGTATGTTCAAGGCTCACTGGACAGGAGCTGTGTCATGAAAACACCACCACAGCTGGCTTCCCTTGGAAAGACTCTCAGCAGAGAGGGCAAACTATTGTGCGTAAAGAGACTAAACTCGCTTTCACTGCCAGGTGTAATTAATATGTTTTAAATAACCTCTGTTAAAATCCCATTGTAATTAGTGAAGATCCAAGTGGCCTAGTTGTGGTAACCCCTGTAGTTCTAGACTGACTCCTCTAGAGTTCATCTTGACTAAAGGATTTAAATTAGAGTTGACTTGTCTTCAGTAGAGTTGTAATAAATATTAGCTAACATGTCACACACACATGCTTTGGATTGGATCCAAAGTCCTGAGCACTTTGCAGGGTTGTGCCCTTTGCATTTGCATATGCCATTTACGCGGCTCTATTCTCTGCTCATATCTTTCTGTTTTAATGTAAGAGCCCTCACTGGTAAGACCTGCAAGCTCTCTGCTATAAGAACCTATGACATTATGCTGATGCTTGGTTTATTATTTTTCATCTATATGGTGGCAGTACCCAGAAACCTCAGTTGGGATTAGAGCCCTGATGTGCAGGCCACTGTCCAAATGTGCAGTAAGAGACAGTTTCTGGCCTGAAAAGCTGGCAGTCCATTAAAAATGAGTGAAACTCTTAGGATCGGTGCAACAATTGAAGGCACATTGTGATACAGGTGAGCTGTCCGCACAGCTTTATTGTTTGGTTCCAGCGGCTGGTACAACAAAAGAAACAGCAGCGGGGAGGATTTTTATTACATTCTATTGAAGTGACATTTACAAGCAGTATTGTTGCTATTTATGCACTTTCGCTCACTGGACCATAACCAATTTTAAAGAGAGGCTGGCTGTGATAAACCGTAAACTAAGAGAAATGTTATGTTTCATAGTACCGTTCCCCCCTACACTCTTGATTAAGCCACAGGTATTTTTGAGATATGGGAAGCAGCTATTGATGACTCACGCAGCCTTCACACACTGCCTGTCAGATGTTTCAGTTGCACAGGAGTAGGCTGAGGTCTTGTCTACATCCAGAGTTTTGCAGACAGTGGTTCTGCCAGTTCAAAGCAGCTGACACTGCTAATCTGCTGGAGCACGTACTCATCCCTGTGTTAGGCTGGGGCTGCGTATCCTTTCCATGAGCAGCTTTGTGGGCTGATTGTGAAGGCATCCCAGACTCTCGGGGCACTGCCCAATGCAATGAACTGTGGCCAGGAGGAAGGAATTATGGGATATGGTAGCCAGCCACCCCTAAGCCATATGGAGAAGGTAATGGGGGTGTTTCAAGGCATAGTTTCTCCATCTGTGGTGGCAGTACCCAGAAACCTCAGTTGGGATTGGGGGTCTGCGAGACACAGGCAGGGGGTATGCAGGTATCCCAACATGCTCTCTCTCACCCGCTTTTCCTATCTCTCTCACCCCTTCCTCCTCTCAAAACTATGACAAAAAAATTTAGTGCATCACGCATTGTGCAGCGCTTTAACTCCCCCAGTAATAATTTGGGGTTCAGCTCTCCTAGCTTTGGCCAACCTCACCTCTAGCCCAGGTACATACTGGAGTTGTACACTCCTGGTGTAAAAGGTGGCAACCCTACCCGCACCAGATCAGACATCTGTCATATCACAGCCTTATATACACAGCCCTTCTTCCAACATATGGCACACATTAGTCTGTAAATATAAAATCCCCTGGAAAATTGAGTGTTGGGGTGCTTATTAACATTTTCAGAAGTTAGGGGGTACTTGCTACTTAAAAGGTTGAGAAACACTGTTTCAAGGGTTGGGTTGCCTGGACTAGGGTGGCGCAGGAGAATGAACCCATGTACCTTGTCTGGTGTCATCCCACATAGTCTCTGAGCACATCAGTTATCTCCGTGCTGATGCAGGCAGTGGTTGATCACATGGGCTGTTTTATGAACACTAATGTCGACTGGTCAGGACAGGTACACAGCGCTTGCATATTCAGGCACATAGGCCTCTTCCAAAAGCTGAAAGCAGGAAACATCTTTCAGATTGGGATACTGAAATTCCCAGGATCATTTTGGGAGACCCAGTCTTCCCTCCTCTGCCTGGCTCACAAAGCCATACACAGGTACTGTATTTCACGGTGTGTTAGTCAAGTTTTGAAGTCCAATTTTTAACTCTTAAAATTCAACTTTGACTTATATATTGTATCACCATCCCCTGTGAGTGGTGCCAGTCTTGAGTGCCAAGCCCAGTCCTGTCCCCTGCAAGTGGTGTTGAGCTTGGTGCTTGGCTGGTGTGGCCAGGCTTGGCACTCAGCAGTGCCACTTGCAGAGGATGGGGTTGGACTTGGCTGGCGCAGCCCAGGCAGTATCGCTTTCAGGAGACGGGGTGCCAGCGCTGCTTGCAGGGGCTGGGGACAGGGGCTGGGCTTGGTACTCAGCTAGCACGGCACCATCCCCTGTGAGCGCTGCTCCTTGAGCTGCACCAGCCGAGCAACGAGCCTGGCCCCATCTGCTGCGAGTGGTGCTGCCAAGCACCAAGCCCAGCTTCACCAGCCAAGCACCGAGCCTGGCGTTGCTCACAGGGGATGGGGCTGGGCTCGGCACTCGGCATTGCCACTCGCAGCAGACAGGGCTAGGTTTGGTGCTTGGCTAACACAGCCCTAACTCATGTGAGCGGTGCTGGGCTTCTGTGGCACAGCCCAGGCAGCTCCGCTCGCAGGAGATAGGTCCACTCCAGCCAAGCACCAAGCCTGGCCCCATCCCCTGTGGGTGGCACTGTGGCACGTGTCCACCCCCTGGGTGCCAGGCCCACAGTGAGGGTGCACAGGGGCTGGTATAAGTCCACCCCATATTTCTGATCCAAAAAAGTTAGGTTGACTTATACACTGGATCTACAAAATTCCTAACTTTTTGGGTAAAAAAAAGGGGTTGACTTACCACGTTGACCTATCCACCATGAAATATGGTAATTTGGACAGCAGCAAAGAGAAGCTTAACTGGATCTTTGGGCACCTGAAGGAGCACTGGAGATGTCTCATGACAAGGCTTGAGCTCAGAGAAAGTACCCCGCGGTAGTTGCCCAATATATGTGAGGCCCGAGCAGAAGCCTGGCTTTGGGATATCAAGTGGAAGTGGAGCGACTGCAGAATTTTAGCAGCCTGACACAGGGGTCATGATCAGAGCCTGCCGTCGTGCTGTGAGGGAGTGGGAGGCCTTAGCAGAGCACTGAGTGCCGTGCCTTGTCTGTCATGCCTGTGACTTTTCTCAGCGGTGCAGCCTTGCCTGGTGGGGGAGGGTAGCACGGCTGTGCAAGTAGGCGGAGAACAAATTTTTAATAATCTAGTTTGAAGATGGAACTCAAAAATAAAGCTTTTATTAAAGGGAACATCAAACAGTAGCAAATTACATAGAACTGGAGAGAACAGGCAGACAAAACAAGCCAACTTGATGCTACTAATCATACAAATCCTCCCCCCACAAAACAAACAGAAAACCCCAAACCTGAACAACCCCCACTAACACAGTGGTTTTCAACCCTTTTTCATTTGTGGACCC